GTAATCCATCCTTCATAAGAGAATAGCACCACAATAATCGGCTCATTCTTCCATTACCATCTTCAAAAGGATGAAGGGAAACAACATGATAATATACCCATCTAGCTAGAACAAATGGATCATGATCTTTCGTTGACATCCGGTCGTTGTATGTCTTCAATATGTCACCCATTGCATTTGGTATGCAGGTGTACGAGGGGAAAGTGTGAAAACCTGCACAAACTGAATATTGCCGATATTTTCCATTATGTATCGGGAATCCTTCTTCAGTAGTAAGACCTTTCATCATGATCTTGTGTGTTTTCAATATTATTTCTTCAGTGAGGTCTGATTTGATATGAGAAAGAAGAAACTCCAATGCCTTGACATGATTCACCAATTGGTCGATACCACTGGCACTGCCACTGTAACTGTTATCCTCCTCTTTTTCGTCATTCTTATAGACTTTTTCTAGTATGCTGATGGTCTCTTCTTCCTTTACACCACCGGGTAGAGTGTCTTCAAGGAGGTTAGTACGCCATATTAATTTGGCCACCATACGTTTCTGGCAGTCTTGAAGAGTCTGTAATGGAGGTGTATCAACTAAAGTACCCTCTTTCCATTTCTCAAGGTTTGTCTTGCACTTTTCCCACTCAGTTTGAGGATTGTCACTTTCCTTCAAAAAATATAGCCTAACTAAGGTCGGAGGTAAAGGAGAGGCGGGTTGAGACGTAGATATTGGTTGAGAACAACGAGAATATGCCATTTGAACAGATCTTTTTGATTTGTGATGCAAATGAGGCAATAATTGCTCCACGTGCCTGCACGATACTGAAAAAGCAGAACTGTTCAATACATACTTTCACTCGGTTTACTCTTCCGCCTCAACTTGTCATTCTCCACCAGACATCCCTGTCGCACATAACCTGACAGAAGTTGTTGTTTCTATTAGCGACACTTTTAAAGTACTATCTGAGCTCAATCCTGCAAAGGCCATGGGTAGTGATGGTATCAGTCCTGCAGTATTGAAGCATTGTGCTACACCTCTGTGTACACCACTTTGCCATCTTTTCTGTGTATCTCTTAAATCTGCTTGTATTCCTTCAGATTGGAAAGTCCACAAGATTACTCCAATCTTCAAGTCTGGAGATAGAACCATCAGTAGTAAACTATAGACCTATTTCCCTTCTCAGTTCTGTATCAAAAGTTCTGGAGAAACTAATCTATGATAAGGTATTGGACTTCTTATATCCATCCTTTTCTCTATCACAATTTGGGTTCTTACAAGGTCGATCTTCTCTT